TGTCCACTCTCACCCAACCAGTTGAGGCAGATGGCCTCCTTCCCTGAGCCTGGCTCTATCTAAGGTTTTCTCCTCCTCCCATGGGGGGATTTGGTTCTTTCCCACCGTTGCCGACCGCTTGCTCAGAGGGAGTCCGAAGGCAACTTTGCATTGTTGGGTTCTCTGTTTAAATTTGTACGGTCTATACCTTACTATGTTTAGCGCTGTGAGATGACTAATGTTGTAAACTGCGTGATATAACTATAGTTGAATAAAATTGAATTGAATCTAACTACTCAGTTGTAATTGTAATGGAAAAATCTGCTAGACTTTTTGACTACAGCTACAGCAGCAGAGGGTTTATGTTCATTAGTACAGAAAGTACAACAATGAGAAACAAGACAATGTGTAGCAGGCACAAACAAATGGGGGAATTAACCTTTTTATTTTTAAAGCTGATTATCATGGCATTATATACTAACATTGATTAATAGATTTTTTTTTATTTTAATATAACCTTTTTCAACCCATTTTATATCAAAATCCTATTACCTATGTCCTCTGGCCAACCACTGGTAGAACTTCTCACATTTTAAATTATAGAACCAATTTAAATTACATAGATAAAAACGTTATGGCCTTTATCCTAATATTTGTTGTTATTATTGTTATTGTTGTTATTATTATTATTACTAATGTTGTGTTGGTGTTGTGTTGTTGCTAGTACAACAATTTCCCTGAGGCCCCCTACTAAAGGGATCAATAAAGTTCTATCTCATCTAATGTAATCTAATGTAATCTAATCTAATCTATGTTGGTAGAGCTAAATGAGACTTCTACACTTCTCAGCTGGTAGTTTGACTATTGTTGTTGACTCTATCAGCAAATTGCTGTAATTCTGTCAGTTTTGATTGTCTTCTCTCAGCTGTGGGATTCAGCTCCTTGTGTAGATGTTCAGTTGGGTTAAGGTCAGGACTCATAGCAGCCACTTCGGATTCATCCATTGTTTTCTTCTCCTCCGTTCATAATGTTTTTAGATGTATGTTTTCATCATCATCATCATCATCATCCTGTAAATGCAACCACATCCTGGTGCAACTCTCTGATACCAGACAATATATTTCATTACTGAATGCCTTGATAATCTTCATTCTTTTTTCATTGTGCCTCACACAGATTCTAAAGCACTGTATGCCAGATGCTGAAAACATAACACAACTGAGCTTTCTGAATGATTCATGTGATGGTGAGACAAGACACCGTTGTACTTTGATCTTTGGAGGTTAACTTGTGTCTACTTTGAAGTTCTCCTTGGTCCTTTTACCACCATTCACATTATTCTTCTGCTCAATTTGGAGTCAGTTTTCCTTGCAAGTCTCATCCAGGGATGCTGGCCTCAGCACTGACCTTCAACCTATTAATATTAAAAGTTGTGGTCACAGGAACATCAAGCTGCTTGGAGAGGCCCTTGTAGCCTTTACCTTGACCATGCTGGCAATTGTTTTCTTTCAAATCTCCTCAGACAGCTACCTCCTTTTCCTTGTCTTACAGACTTGCACTCTGTTCCGTTAATTTAAGGGCAACTAAACAAGTCGGCTGCATGTCCAAACGTGCACTGTGGTGGCTCATCAGTAAAAGTCATGCCAGCAATGATACGAGGTCAGACCTTGTGCTTGTTGAAAGTGATACAGAAATATTACAAGTGTAAACTGAGTGGGATCCATGTGAGCGTCTTCAAAGAGAGAGAGCATTGTACATGGAACAACATGCTACAAAGGTTTATCATTATTACATTCTTACGTTCTCTTACATTCTCACTTTCAAAAAAAATGGCAAAATACCTAGTTCTTGTCTGTTACATTGCTTTGTCTATAACCTCTAGTATTTTGGAAGCTGACATTTGTAGAGTAAAAATAAGTAGACAAAGTTTGAATTTTACACAACACAATCTATTTCTTTTAAACATAAATTACCACAGGAGAGCATGGATGGAGCACAGTGGATCAGGATCCAACAGCAGATCACACTGTGTAGGTCTGCATGTCTTCACATCAGACAGGTGAACTGTCACACACACAGTAATAGTTTAGTTTTAGCTGTTTAGGACTACTTCTTCAAAGTGTATTAGTATATTGTGGGATCCACGAGTATATTTAAAGAGAGAGAGCTGTGCACATGTACTCATAGACAGTACAGTACAAGTTTCATTAGTTATCTTTAACTGTACAGGGGTTGTTAGGGGGAGCGGTGGTTAGCACCGTTGCCGCGCAGCAAGAAGGTCGGAGGTTTGCATCCTGGTGAGGACACCCAGGATCTTTCTGCGTGGAGTTTGCATGTTCACCCTGTGCAGTGTGGGTTCTCTCCGGGTTCTCCGGCTTCCTCCCACAAGGTCCAAAAATATCACCACAATTGGTGATTCTAAATTGTCCGTAGGTGTGAATGTGAGTGTGTTTGGTTGTTTGTCTCTAAGTGTGGCCCTGTGATAGACTGGCGACCTGTCCAGGGTGTCCCCTGCCTTCACCCTGAGTCAGCTGGGATAGACTGCAGCCCCTCACGACCCTAGTGAGGATTAAGCGGTGTATAGATAATGGATAATGTAAATTATGCAGACATGGAGAAAGGGCTGAGGTGAGCTGTCTTATTTATTTGTTTGTTTGTTTGCATTATTTTTGCATTCTACATTTCTTTGTGTATTGACTAGTCTCACATAAATGTCAAATGCTGCGTGTGTGCTGCAGCACTCTATGGCTCTGTGGGTGGTATATGTGAATGTAGCCATGAGGAGCATTAACAGAAGAGTGACCTCTGTCTAAAAAAGGCTTAAATGATGGAATGCCGTGACTTCATAATGGATTGATGAACTCAGAAATGTTCCATATCCTATGTCTAAAAAAGGCTTAAGTCAGCATGTCTCCTCCAGTTTATCCCAAAATACTGCTGCCAAACTTTTACAGGAACTGTATCTCTTGTTTCATTACAAAAGCAATTTGTAACTTTGGTCAGAAAGTTCTAAATAGATGGTAGTTATTAACGTTATTTATAGCAAACACTGTAGGTCATACTCACATACATGTGTGAAATCTAATAAAATCCAATACAACAGTTCTTCCATGAATTCTTTGTTTATGAAGTTTCTACATTTAGCTCTTGTTGTTGTCAAAAAAAGTCATACACCTACTTTATTTATATTTTTGAGGTGGTATACCAGACTGCAGTAAGTGGACAACTATCAGGAATGTTGCAATGTGTTGGTTATGATTTTTAAGAAGGAATAACACTCATTTACAACTTCAATGAATTAATTTTAACTTCAAGGTAATTCATTAAATCAACCAGTTTATTCATTACTTCCTTATAGGAAAAGATTGGGATTTTTGCAATGTGTTAGTTATCATTCATCAAGTTTGCTGATGAAGCAAGACTTATTTGCAGGAACAAAGAATCAATGTAATGATGACGTGAAACATCTAGAGGGCTGGTGCAATAAGAACAACCTGCTGCTCAACGTGGACAAAACGAAGGAGATGATCATCGACTTCCGGAGGTCATGTCCTGAGCATGCTCTCCTCAGTATCAGCGGCTGCACAGTGGAGAGAGTGGAGAACATCACGTTCCTCAGAGTGCAGATCTCGCAGGACCTCAGGTGGCATAAGAACACCGCAGCGATCATCAAACGGTCCCAGCAGAGACTGTATTTCCTGAGGAAGCTGAAACAAGCCTCTCTCCCTGCCAGCATCCTCAGGACTTTCTACAGAGGTGTGGTGGAGAGCGTTCTGGCATACTGCATCTAAAAGCCCTGCAGAGGATAGTTAGAGGAGCTGAGAGGGTCATCGGAGTTTCCCTCACCTCTGTCCAAGAACTTTTCCAGAGCCGCTGTAGGAGCAGGGCACTGAACATTGCCAGGGACTCCTCACACCCTCTCCATCACCTGTTTGAACTGCTACCATCAGGCAAACGTTTCTGGAGGATTAAAGGAAGAACCTTCAGAATGATCAACAGCTTCATTCCACAAGCTGTCAGAATGCTGAACTGCTGATCCAGATATGCAAACATTTCTTTATTTAAATTGCCTTAAGTTATTGGATCCTGAAGAAACCCTCTCTCATCTTGCCTGTACTACTGTGTATGTACAGCAAAATGACAACAAACTCGATTTGATTTGATATGATCTTTAAGAAAGAATAAGTTTGACTTTACAGTTGCTATTTGACTTTATTAAAGACAGTTTTGCAGCACTAACTCCCGTTATTAATGTGCTGATTACAGGTAACCACTTCATCAAGGTGAAATGTCAGGTTCTCTCAAAAGACAACTCCAGGCATCGTTCTTGGCGCATGTTCAAACCGGAAACAACACGCACAGAACGCAGCGCACCGTACGTCATGACGTCAGGAACGTGAGCCCGTCGTCATCAGCTTCCTGTTTACTCTGCTGCTGGCGCTGCTGCTCTCTGAAAGATGGACTTCTGTTCACTGTGGGTCGCTTCTACAGACTGCCGCCGGTTGTAGCGCGTCGAGCCGGGCTCAGAGAGCTGCCGGAGCTCAGCATGCTGCTTCTCCAGCTGCCAGAGGACGTCCTCTATCACATCGCGTCTTATTTGGACCACAGATCTCTCTGTCGGCTTTCTCAAGCTTGTAAGAGCACGCACCGCTTTGTGAGCCGGGACGCGGTGTGGAGGAAGATTGCTAAAGAGTTTTTAAACACTGGAATCACTCGGGATGGGACAGACATGTAAGATAACAGTGGCACACTGTTGCTGTAGCGTGTGTTGAGCTTGGCGCTAGACTAACCTGGGACTGCTGACAGCATCTGTGAACGCTGTGATCAGCTGTTCTGGGGCAGTGAGGTGACTCTGGCTACATCCACTCCACGTTTTCACTTTACGCTCATAGCCTGTGCTGCGTTCACACTAGTTCGGCCTGTTATGACCCCCTTAAACAGCCTTGTGGAAGGCGGCTGACCCCGTTTCAGTTCGAAAACTAAGCTTAGGTTGAGCACCATTTCCTTGGGAACTCTGGCTTTCTGGAGTTTACACAAAAGCGGCCGTCAGACGCTTCATGTGACCCTTCAATGCACAAAATGCACCGATGGTGTCCCCACTTACTAGAACAAATATAAAAATCATGGTAAAATCTGCTGCTAAATGATGCAACACAGGAATGCTGGTCAACAACTGTTATAAGCATGTTCATATGTTATATATGAAACTGATCAGTGCGGCTGCTTGTCTCTAACTGACAGCTGGATATGTTAAACTTCATATATTTAAACATGATCTTGATTTGAAGTGCATTTAGGTCTGACACTGTCCCAGAATGCAGGATGTCACTCTAATTTTTGGCCAAATCAAAGTGAAATTAATGTTACTGATTGAATATTTCTCGTAATAAACACTAATTTAATGACCAATTTACTAATCTGTGTTCTATCAGCTGCAGTACCAGCAGTGGAAACGTACTTGACAGCAAATCAGAGCCAAACATACAACTTCTGTATCACTAGCTGAAAACATGTCAGGTTCCGTAGCAATGTAATGTATATGGTTAACAATACTGTTACAGCAAAACTTTGTTCAGTTGTATTACTAAGGTCGAGATCAACAGGTTTGGAGATATAACATTCCTTCAGCTGAGAATCGGTATCACTTATAGAGAATCGTCAGGAAACAATTTGTTAAAAAGGAGGCGCTTTTTACAGCTGATTTGAATCTGAATGATTCAGTTCGATTTCAATTCATACATAATATTATGGGGAGGTATGAGGAATTGAAAAAAATATACTACATTTAAAAGCACCTCTATTGCAAATGATGCAAGAGATTCATGCTGGTAGAAAACAGTTTATTGTGAAATGTGTTATATTTATTTTACGACTCTGCACTCTCGATTTAGCAGTTTGTTTCTAATGTGACGGCTGGACATTTGGGCTGTGAAACTTCAAACCTAATACATTTAAACATGCTACTCAAGAAGTGAATTTACATCTAAGACTGTCCCATAATGAAGTATATGTCGTAATCATCCCTAGTTTTTGGCCAGTTATTGATAGAGTATTCTCTTTGAGAAATTACAATAGACAAATCAATTTTCTAATCTGTGTTGTATTAGCTGACATGTCAGCAGTGTAAAACAGACTGTGCAGCCAGTCAATACCTAGCATTAGAACATTTTCAACAGTTTTGTGGCACTAGGACAGTTACTTGCTTTAGGTGGAGCATTTAGGGTACACTTGCTACTTTGCTTCCTTGCCGCTCGATTTGTCAGACCCTCAGACAGGCCGTAAAGAAAGTCTGAGGTTACTCAAACTTATATTGAAGAAAAAATGAAGGTGATAGTGTCTATAGGTTATGATAAACTGTGTTGAATTGTAACAAATAACATGACCTGCCTACAGTCACTACAGTTGTCAGTTCACCTGAGCGCACTGTCAGGCTGACCTCTAAATATAGTGGTTTAGATCATTTGGATAAACTGCTTTTTTTCTTCTTTTTTTTTTGGTCAACTTGACAATTGTCTCACTGGTTTAAGTGATATCATCAGTTAACCCAGTTTTGTTTTTCAGGTAGAACATTTTATGCCTTTATTAAATGCTAAATAGTACGGGGATGCTACAACAACCAGAGTAGAGATGGGAAAAACATGAGCTTCCAATCTAGGTGCAAAAGAGGACACTGGGATTCATGGCACTTAAAGCTTAGACCACCAGGGCACATTGTAATTATTATATTTTTAATAGGAGTAGCTAGAACTTTGAAAATACAATTCCAATTTTTCTAAGCTGGAATTTGAGAGTAGTCATCAGCTTTTCTGGGGCAGAGGTGTCATCCCTGTTTGTCTAAATGTGATCGACTTACACAGTTCAACCTGACTGACCAGCCCAGAGTGAGCTATGAGTGACAAGGACACCATAGTGTGCTCCGTCAGGCCTTTCATCCAGTGTTGGAGTCAGACCCATACTGGTCTGTAGATGCCTCATTTAGCCAGATGATGGTTTAATGGAAGCATAAAGATGTCCCATGCTGTATATTCTCAGTCAGACAGTTTGGAGGGGATTTCTGCTGCTCTCTGTCCTCCCCTGTTTGACATGGCCTTTATCAGAACGTGAATGCATATGGTTCTGTTTTGGATGACTGTGGACTGCCTCTGCACACCTGGGCAATGCACAATGAAAAGTCTGCTATCAAATGAAGCAAGAGATACAAGAGATGCAAATGCACACATGGATAGCTGCAGACACCGCACTTTTGTAGTTTTTGGTATTGTATGACTTTCTAGTATAGTATAAAAGTTCTGAGGATCATCCAGAGTTAAAGGACCAATGTTTTCAAAAGAAATGTTGCTGGTGAATTTAAGTAATTTTAATATACTGTGAACGCCACAAAATTCTGTTCATCTCCATTGTGTTAGAACTGAGACTGACATCTCAGAGGTGCTTTTCTCCAAACTCTGACCATAAAACCAAAACTGACAGTGTGGAGAGTTACCAGTAGAGGAACTTTAGACTTTCTTTTTTATTTTGATTGGTTTGTTTGTTTGTAAAATGTGTGAACTGACTCTTGAAACAACCTGCCACAGGCAACAGTTTTTGGCTTTCCATCATTTTATAAAAAAGGACGTTGGCTGATGTGTCTGTTAAATATTGACACTGCAATCAGTGTTTCTCCATAGCTGTATCAGAACTGGCAAAAATGTGCCAGATAAACATGTGGATATGTAGCTTTTAATCATCAATAGATTAAAATGCTGCAGTATGTCCTCTGACATTCAAACCTGCAGTTCTGGTAGTGTACCAGATACCGGTGGTATAACACAGTATTCACTAACACTGTCAATAGGTGCCTATGCTGTAAGCCCTGCAGTTGATCGCTCTCTTTTTAAGCTGTAATCCTTCCTCTGAATGCCAAGTTTCTACCATAGCTGGACCATCAGAAACGTTTCTTGTATGCCTCCAACGTTTTTCTCACCATGTGCTTCTCCATATTTCCAGTTACTGTAGCCTACTCCATCTCCATTGCTGCTGTGCCACTCTTTTAGCTGAGGCAAACCAATCATTGCTGGTTGACGTAAAGCACATTAATGCCAGTGCACCATTGCAGAAATGTCACTACAGTCAAGAGATTTAAAACTCTGGCATGTGCAATGCAATGAGATTTACTTGCATCTGATAGGCTCAGTTAGCATTGTGTGAACTTGTTTTGCAAGACTTGAATGTAGCAGACATGTAAAACTGCTGCACACTGGCTAAGTGGGGATGGTTTAAAATAATCCAAAACTGTTTTCATCACGACAAGCAAATTAACATTCAGACCTTGAAAATTCCCGTTAGTCAAAGCATGGTTGTGTTAAACTGTCACTGTCATTGCAGATATCCTCATGTCCCACTGAAGGAGCGAGTGAAGATAGCTCAAAACTGGTTCAATGGGGTCTGCAAAAGGGCGAGTCCTCTCAAATGGAAAACCAAGTTAGTGAGTCATTTGCCTATACTTAAAAGGCTGTAACATCATGTCCTCATTTTGCTCCATATAGCTTTTGCAATATGCCATGTCAGACAAGAAATGGAATATGTATTAAATGAGAATTCAGAGATTCTAGACCGGGGTCCTGGTCCTCCAGGGCCACAGTCCTGCATGTTTTAGATGTTTCTCTCTTCCAACACACCTGATTCAAATGATCAGGATCGTTATCAGGCTTCTGCAGAGCTTGATGATGAGCTGATCATTTGAATCAGGTGTGTTGGAAGAAGGAAACATCTAAAACATGCAGGACTGTGGCCCTGGAGGACCAGGATTGGAGATCCCTGTTCTAGGCTGTATGCAATATGAAAATATATGCTGTACTTTACAGTCGGACAAGTCATGTGGGTCATTTCCCTCTGGTTCTAGTCTTCATATCAAGCAAGGCTTCATTAAACCAGAACTTATTCTACATACTTAAGCCCCTTTCAGACATCCTTTCTGATAATCTGATGGCATATAAACATGTAGGCTTCCTGTCTGAAGCCTTTTTTAGACATGGGATGCATAACATTGCTGGCTTCATCATTTTGGGGTGCAGTGAAAGCTCATCGGGTAGAGCCTGCGACCCATGTGCAATGGCTTAAGTCTTTACCGCAGTGGCCAAGGTTCCATTTGGCCCAGTGGCCACTTGCTGCATGTCATCCCATCTCCTCTGTCCCATTCAGACATGCACTCTGTTTCGTTAATCTCACGGCAACCAAGCAGTTCGACTGCATGTGTGAATGCGTGCCCTGGAGCTGAAGTGTGTTTCTTTCAGCTGTTTGGAACTATTGGCTCTGAGTTTGTTTGACACCTGTAAAGTGTTACAGCAGCGGATAGAAAAAAAAACAAAAACAAAACAAACAGCAAAAAAACACAGTACAGGGGGAAAAAGAGCAGCACACAATGCACGTAGTGCACAGATATACACAGACACTTTCTCCTTCCAGAAGAAGTATAAGTGTTTACAGAAAAAAATCTGCGAAATTGCACAGTGTCCTTATTTACATTATTATTGCACAGTTAGTGGGTGAACTGAACTACTGGGAGCAGGCTTGATTGAACAGTCTGACTGCAGCAGGAAGGAAGGACCTGTGGTATCTCTCCTTTAGACACCACAGGTGAAGCAGTCTGTCTGAAGGAGCTGCCCAGTGATCTTACTGTTTCCTGCAGGGGGTGGGAAGTGTCCTCCATGATGGACAAAAGCTTTGTCATCATCGTCTCTTCTTCCACCACCTCCACAGGATCAAGGGGGCAGCCTAGGACAGAGCTGGCTTTCTTAATCAGTTTCCTGTCTGCAGCCGTAACTACAATAAACTCAGAGACTATAACAAGTCATATTATTTAGACCTGCGAATCATCAATGTATTCCAGATTTTAACGAAACATTAGAAGAGATAAAGTTTAGTTTGTTGCCTCCAGCTGCAGGTAAATAATTTGTTACATAGCGCCCATCCTCAGGTTGAGTCTTGAGCTTCATCACAGCTGTCAGGATATTTTTTATTTTGCTGTTGGTAAAGTACTAGTTACATTATCTTTACACCTGGACAGCATTTTCAATGTTCATCAAATCATAAAAAGTGGGCTATAGTAATTTGGACTCTTTCATAAGCATGCTATTAGTTTGGATTTAGTTGAATGTATTTGTGCATTATTATGTGTTACACATCACCTGATGTACAGTACTTTCCAATCTTGTGTATATGATAAATATCACACGCACTGTAACTCTCTCCATCACTATGTTGAGAACATCTAAAGCTGCTGAACATTAACACAAACAACATCTGTGTCTGAATGACAGAATATCGTCATTAATTCTGAAGCCAGCAATGTTACGTATCTGAAATCTGAACAGACAGATAGATATCCATCTTCCTATCCAACGCTAGGAAAAATTAGAGCATGTTCTTCATTAAGCTGCATATGTTTTTGGAATTTGTCATTTTGACTTCATTTATATCAGCTCCACTATAATCATTTCTAGTCACTTACATATTATCATGTATCTTTTTGTCAGACTGTTGCCGTGGTTGCAGCTGGATGGGGATATACTGTTTCTGTCTCAGGCTGCTAATATTGGGGCGTACCACCTGCATCAAGGCTCCAGGAGGCTCCTGCGTAGCCCATTTGAAATCTACTCTGGCCATAAGGGTGATGTCTGTCGCTTTGCTCTCACAGACTCTAACCTGATCAGTGGTGGAAGGTAACTCACGCACTATTTGTAATCCTGCTGGCTTTATTTGGCATGCATTTATCATTATGTAACAATCAGAGGTAATAACACAGTAATTAGTATCTTAGCATTAAGAAATGTTATGTGACTTTGTTACAGTTCTTTTTAACCTATAGAGATTTAAAGAATTCTTTGCATTTGCTGTGTTTTAATGCTTTTGCACAGACACCTGCTAAATGCTAGCAAACATGTTTATTGCTGTTCAAAATAGCCCACTGAAAGGCAGAGTTGACAACTCTCCAGTCATAGAAAGGGCAAAACATCTTTTCTTCTCTAAGGAATTCATGATGTCCCCAGCTGCTCATACAGAAAGTGAAAGAAGTAATTGTGCTAAGAATCAGCAGAGAACTCTAAAACTATTTTACAGCTTTTGACAGTTGACCACTTAGATTGACTAAATAAACTGAAGTCAAGGTCTGCTTAAGAACTTCCTCTGGTAGCTTGTTTCAACCTCAGCATACTGAGATCATTCGTCTGTAAATTGAGGGTCCGCACTCGTCAGGGAGTCCATTCATTTGTCAGCTACACAGTAGGGACTTTAAGTCATGTGACAAAATTTACTTCATTATGAAATATGGTTAAAAGCTCTGGAACAAGCTAGTATGTGGACCATAAATTTGATTATTTTGGCAGATTTTTAGAGGACTATATTAGTCTGCACCTATGAGACAGTGGGTTCCAGCAAATCATAAAGTTTTTATACATAAAATATCTTCCATCAGAAAGGGTTTTCAAACAGTTCCACAGCGTACATTATTCATTTATTTTTAATATTTACACTGATCAGCCACAACATTAGCAGTTGAAGTGAATAACATTCATTATCTTGTTACACTGCACCTGTCAACGGGTGGGATAGATTAGGCAGCCAGTGACCAGTCAATTCTTGAAGTTGATGTGTTGGAAGAAGGAAAACTAGCATGACTTTAAATGACTTTAACAAGGACCAAATTGTGATGGCCGGATGACTAGATTAGAGCATGCTTCTTCAGCCACGCTGCAAAAAATGTTCAGATTTGAGGAACATGACAAAAACCTTAAGATGTGGACTTGGCCTCCAAAGTCCACTGACCTCAGTACAATTAGCATCTGCTGGATGTACTGGAAAAACAAGTCCAATCCAATTTCAACAACTTAAAGAATCAACTGTTAACATCTTGGTGCCTGGTACCACAGGACACTTTCAAAGGTCTATGGAGTACAGATCTCAATGGGTTAAAGCTGGTTTGGTGGCATGAGGAGAACCTTAACAGTGTTTGGCAGGTGGTTTTATTGTTGTGGATGATCAGTGTAGTTCACTAAGCAAGACAATGTTTGGTCTAGGAATAAATCAGACAGAAAAGCGTCAACCCATAATGGTGAATTGCAAAATAACTCGTAAATATTTTTTCAAATTAAAGGCTTATGTCTTTCCAACATATTGGAAGTATGTCAGACAAAAAAGCTTGAAATTTAATTCCCTTTGTTTTTGACAGTGATGGCAAGATCCTGGTCCACAGCAGGAGAAATCACGTGTCTCTAGAGTTATTAGGTCATAACCAGGAGGTTAACTGCCTAGACTCTAAAGATGGACTCATTGTCAGTGGATCAAGAGATCGAACAGCCCGGGTCAGAACATTTCTACATTTCTGTGACATGGTGTTTACAGTTCATGTTTGTTTCATGTTTTGTTGCTACATTTCACTTAATTTTCAATTCATCCTAAGTTTTATTGATGCTTCAAATGCATTTTGAAATATAAAAATCTAACGTCGCAATATAAAATACACTTACTGATGATTTTTTATTTTTTTTTCTAGATTTGGACTTTGACTTCCAGGTCCCCCAGAGATACAATTCCCATGTATGACAGAGTGTGGTCTGTTGCTATTAGTCCCACATTGAGGTAAGGATTTGCTCAGAATCACTCACAAGCATTTGTTTAACAGTTGCCACAAAGAAATTGACGAATGTGGCTGTGATGAGTTACTCAATGAAATGGCTTTCTCCAGGAAAATTGTTAATGGAGGTGCTACTCTCAGTCACTGTTGTGTTTGGACCAGACTACTTACACTAAGGAATAGCACGAGATTATGGCACAGCATGTCAAATTTAACTTTGACTCACTGCAAATCAAATTGGGTTACATGTCCAGATTGTGATTATCCAACTAATGTGAGCCTGATGTTGAACTTGTCTTGTACACAATTCTCCTTCTGAATGATGTATGTTGTGGGACTCTGCTCCATAAGATTATTCCAATCTGGGGAGTCTGAATGCTGGGTCAATGCTTTGGGCACTTTGTCATTTTGCTCGTGTTGCTTCTGAGCAATTTTTGCAGTGTAGCTGGGCACATTGTCCTGCTGCTACTTTCGGAGAGTATTATTGCCATGTAGGGACAAACCTTGTCTGAAAAAACATTTAGGTTGGTGGAACAGGTCAAGCTATCATTCACATGAATGCCAAGACCCAATGTATACAAGATAGTGTCCCTGCTATTTTTTGGATGGTAAAGTTCATTATAATGTCCTCAACCATTAGTGTGTTTAAGTCTTGTGTGGCAAAGTGCCTTTCTAGGTATTCTAGCAGGTACCCTGTGTTTGACTGCTGTTTATTAAACAGTTGCATAGTAAATGTTGTAGTTAAATGTGTTTCCTGTATTTGAGTTTGGTATCAAAAATGTCTTCCCAAATTTTAAACTAAAACAAGTGAGGGAATTGGACTACATAATGAAACTGCACTTACAATCCAACGTGGTTCATTTTTGAAGGTATATTTTAGCATTTTCAGAATTAATCATTTCTTTGACATTTGTTGTAGGACTCAAACTGCTGTATGACAAGGTATTGCACTGTTATCATGCTGCTGTAGTTTTACTGGTTGTTATGTTGGTAACTTATTTTCTTTTGCAATGAATGCCTGCATTCCAAAGCCAGCCTTGCGGGCCCTCTGTATTAAGCCTCATTCAACATTGATTCAAATATTTTTTGAGAACATTATTTTGATTTCATTGTTTATTGTTCTTTTACTTAATTTTTGTTGAAGTCCTTATAGTCAGAATATTATATTTTTCCAATGTAGTACAAATAGTTGCAATGACTTATGCATGTAAACCAAGAGGATCCCTGAAAATATTTATTGATTTATTTTATTTAACCATTTATCCAGGTACAGTGAGGAAAATAAATATTTGATACACTGGCGATTTTGCAAGTTTTCCCACCTACAAAGAACAGAGAGGTCTGTCATTTTTATCGTAGGTACACCTTAGCTGTGAGAGATAGAATCTAAAAAGGAAATCCAGAAAAACACATTGTATGACTTTTAAATAATTATTTTGCATTTCATTGCATGAAATAAGTATTTCATACAATAGAAAAACGGAGCTTAATATTTGGTACAGAAACCTTTGTTTACAATTACAGGGGTCAGACGTTTCCTGTAGTTCTTGACCAGGTTTGCACACACTGCAGCAGGGATTTTGGCCCACTCCTCCATACAGATCTTCTGCAGGTCTTTCAGGTTTCGGGGCTGCTGCTGGGTAACCCGGAGTTTCAGCTCCCTCCAAAGTTTTTCTATTGGGTTCAGGTCTGGAGACTGGCTAGGCCACTCCAGAACCTTGAAATGCTTCTTACAGAGCCACTGCTTAGTTGCCAGCTAAGGAGTGTGTGGTCATTGTCATGCTGGAAGACCCAGCCACGACCAATCTTTAATGCTCTTAATGAGGGAAGGAAGTTGTTGCCCAAAATCTCGTGATACATGGCCCCATCCAGTCTCCTCTCAATATGGTGCAGTCGACCTGTCCCCTTTGCAGAAAAGCACCCCCAAGTACGATGTTTCCACCCACATGCTTCATGGTTGAGATCAAGTCAAGTCAAGTCAACTTCATTTATAGAGTACATTTAAAAACAACCAAGGTTGACCAAAGTGCTTTACAAACTCACAAAGCACAACAAACAATGGCATGTGCCAAGGCTTAACTGCAATCAAAAGCCTGGGAGTACAAGTGTGTCTTCAATAGGGACTTGAAGGTAACAGAAGACTGAGCAGTTCTAATATGAGCAGGTAGGCGATTCCACAGACAAGGTGCAGCCACAGAGAAGTCACTTCTGTTTCTGAGTCTGGGGACTACAAGGACCATCTGATTAGCCGACCTTAGCATTAAAGATAAAGATAAAGATAAAGATAAACTTTATTCATCCCGAAGGAAATTGTTTTGCCAGAGTTAAGCGTGGAGCATGGATAATTAAAAGCTTGGACAAATAAGAAAGTGCTAGCCAATTTGGAACCTTAAAAACAAGCAATTAACTGAAGTGTACAGGAAGCCAGTGGAGCGAGGCCAAAATTGGAGCGATGTGTTCTCGTTTCTTTGTCCAGGTAGCAGCATTCTGTTGAAGCCAACGAAGAGACATCTGTTCCAGACCCTAGTTGTAACAAAAGCATGTAGGAGTCTCTCAAAGTCTTTATCAAACAGATAGGGCTTCACTTTGGCCAACAACCTTAACTGGAAGAAGCTGGTTTTGACGACAGAACTTGATCTGTTTTTCCAAATATAACAGCACTGTCAAAGATCACGCCTAGATTTTTTGAAAACGCACGGTTATAAGCATCTAGGGGACTGAGAGCACCAATACATTCATGTAATTGGTCTAAACGCCTAAAAACAATAATCTCTGTCTTGCCTTTATTGAGACGCAGAAATTTAATGTCCAGCCATGACTTGAGGTCTTCTAGACAATTTAGTAATGGCTGGAGTGAACCTGCAGTTGCGAATTTAATGGGCAGGTAAATCTGCACATTCATCTGCAAAACAATGGAAAGCGATATCATGCTTGTTAAAATGGAGCCCAGGTGTAGCATCCATCCATCCATCCATTTTCTATACACCGCTTAATCCACACTAGGGTCGCGGGGGGGGCTGGAGCCTATCCCAGCCGACTTAGGGCGAAGGCAGGGGACACCCTGGACAGGTCAGGTGTAGCATGTACAAAAAAAATAGTAAGAGGCCTAAAATGGACCCTTGGGGGACCCCACAACAGAGAGTGGATGCCGCTGGGGAACGTTTGCCAAGGTGCACAGGAAAACTCCTGTCTGTCAGATGAGATTCAAACCACCTGAGAGCTGTACCTTTGATGCCCACACACTTTTCAAGCTGGGAAAGGAGAATAGAGTGGTTGACTGGATCAAAGGCAGCAGTCAAATCTAAAAGAACAAAAAATGCTGAATCTTCTGAATCAACAGTTAGGAGAAGATCATTAAAAACTCTTAAAAGGGCAGTTTCAGTACTGTGACATGGGCTTAAAACTTAAAACGTGACTGGTGGGGGAGTCACGGCAGGAGAAAATAAGATTTCTGCAGTGCGTCGGGTCTGGTGAGCATTGCGGCAGCACCCAAGCCGAGGGAGGGAAACTCCGTCGGCTCCGGGTTTTAAAGTTCCCTTCACAAAAGTGAAACTTTATTGGATTTCAGCCTCCTTTAAAGAACATTTTGCAAACTTGTTTTGGCTATAGAACTTTTACCTGAACAAGGGAACAAGAATAGACTACCTCAACTCCCAAAGGGAACTCGAAAGATTATTCTGCCCCAATGTCAAGGATCAGTCTGTCGACTAAAACGGCAGTCTATCGAGAGGTTGTCTGTTTTCTCTTGGGTAACCTGAAGGTACAATTCTACAATTTCATTTCGCAGATACTTTCATCCAAAGCCATAAGTGCCATAAAACGAGTTCAAGTTTGATAGGATGTTGGTGTGGAAGTAATAGGATTTTTTTTTTCCCCTTCAGTCTGTCAAGTGCAGAGGTGTTCACTGAACAACAGTAATATTTTCTTAAAGACTGAGAGGGAATCCGCAGATCGAACAGAGTTTGGTAACTTGTTCCACCACAGAGGAGAAGAGTCTAGCTACCGACCTCAGGCCCTGTTGTGGTGACTGTATCACATCCCTTTTCCACCAAAAAGAACCAGGTGCCAGTTCCGTGGCAGTGCTAGGACCAGTGCTTAATTGGTTCCAATCTGGCACCTCCAAAGAACCGGTTGCTTTTCCATTAGCCGTTGACTGAACAACACTTGTGCCACACGGAAGTCCACACAGGACTCCAGACATTTTTTTTTTTTGTCACAGGAAAAACTTGCTGAACATTTTCTTATCGATAGACTCTGCAATTTACAGATGTTCCCCTAACACCCCGCATTGCAGGCTGTGGTAGCTGCTGTTGGTGGCTGCAGTGCTCAGACAGGTGTGCGACCAAAAACGACTTTGAAAGAGTAAACTAGGGCGTTCTAATGTAGATTTGTCCAAGATGAAAGGGAGGGATTTGTTCTCATGCAGTCTTTTTTATGAGCACTATAAATGGCACAGGTAGGTGCGCTCCATTTTTTACGAGAAGATCGCATTTCTAAGCGTAAATACTGCAGTACACTGAAGTTATTAAAGTTCTGTTTTTCCACCACTGTGGTGCTGCTGGTGGGACACAACTATACCGGCTTTCAGTGTGCAACAGTTTGTTTAGAACTTCCATGTGTCCCGGGACTCATTCCAATACATCCGCTTGTGTATCCCATTCATCGGTCTCATTGGTCACAATAACCCCGCCCCCAGACCCTGACATACTCAGTGCTTTTCTCTGGCCCAGCAAAGAGTTTTTGCCTGAAAAGCACCAGTTTTGAGAGCCTGAAACCAGTGCTTTGGTGGTGGAAACACAAAGAAGTGGTGCTAAGTCAGGCACCGGCTCCGAACCAGCACTGGAACTGGTTTGGTGGAAAACGAGTATCACGTGCCTTTTGTATAGTGAGCAGAGGAAGTGTAAACCCGAATGACAGAGTTCTGGTAGGAGGGAGCTGTTCATATTGTTGTTTTATGAGCAAGTGTCGATGTTTTGAATTTGATGCGGGGAGCAACTGGAAGCCA